CCATGGGTCACAGGCTGAGGGAAGCACAGATCTGGGCACTAGGTGGGAAGACCCAGGGAGAGGAAGGCTGGGGAGAGTGAGGGAGGGATGGATGACAGACTGATGCACGGAGCTCTGTCTCCAGGCCCCTTCCCCGCCTTGCTCCTCCCCCCCAACGGTGGCTGTTCCTTCTCTATCTTGGTGTTTGTCTGTTTCTGTTTTTCTCTCTGAAAACCACAGCTTTTTGGAGCCTTCAAGAGAAAAAATGGGAAAGAAGACAGATGAAAGAAAATGCAGACAATGAACTGTGTGTGTGTGTGTGTGTGTGTGCGCGCGCGCGCGCGCGCGCACGCGGATGTAAGCTCAAATGTTCCAGCAGTACAAGGTCTGGGTAGAATTTTATGAGGAAGAGAGGAAGGAAATGAAAGGAGCAGAGTGTGAAGGAAGAGATGGGCAGCAGAGGGGCAGCAGAGGGGCAGCAGAGGGCCCACGGACAACAGGCAGGGGAAGCAGGGACACTCAGTCCACACACACGGCCACAACACACAGCCCACGGACGCACAACACACAGCCCACCACACACGCTGCTCACACACAATGTAACACATACTATACACACCACACACATTGGAAGTGCAACAGTGGGAGGGAGCGCAATGAATTCATGGAGAAAGGGAAACAGGGAGTGGCTAAGACAGACAGGCCTGGCACCAAGGGCCTGACACAGCTGTACAGGCAAACGTGCGCTCACACATCCATGTGGGCCCATGGCAGGACTGGGGCCAGGGTAAATCTTCAATATGAGTTTTGCATGTAAATGTATGAAAGAATGAATGGGCCAGCAGCCCAGAGAGCGAGCCAATACACGTGGACCAGAGGATGGAGAGATAGAGGCACATTCAGAGTCAGAGAAACAAGGAGGCGCAGAGGTGATGGGCAGAGAACAGGTGACAAGACCAGATGGACACACACCAGAAACATGCCCCATGTTTCCAGGTGGGAGGGATGGGGTAGAGCAGTGGTCAGCAAACTGCGGCCCCTTGAGTGTGGCTCTTCCACAAAATACCACGTGCGAGCACGCACGTACAGTGCGATTGAAACTTCGTGGCCTTACTCAAGGGGCAAAAGAGCCACATGTGGCTCGCGAGCCGCAGTTTGCCGACCACTGGGGTAAGGAAAACAAATTAGGACCTTTTTTGTGCTTTTCTGTATCTTTCCTACTCTGCTATATATTTTTTTTCATGGAAGAAAACATTTATCTTAAAAACAAAAACAAAATGCATGCAGAATAAGAGAAAACTACTGAAATTAGGAAGAGGTGGAGGGGACGTGGGGGTCCAGGTCTCCAGTCCTCTGAAGTAGGAAACTGGACAGAGTTGCACAAGGAGGAGTGGGCTGGGCCCTGAGACGGGGGCCCAGCACAGTGGCATCTCTTGCCTCTCCACATTCTGTCTCTCACGGAGAGTAGAGCAAAGCAAATGAACAGAGAGAGGGAGTCCAAGCCATCGATGGCGAGACAGAGGAAGCGTCCCTGCCTCCCTTCCCGTGGGCCAGATCTGGGTGCATCAGCGAGACTCGCCAATTCCCTCAAGCTATTGTTCTGGGCAACCCTGCAAGTTGGGGAAGGGGGCTGGGGCGGAGGGGGACAGGAAAGCTCCCAGAGGCAGTCTAGTCT